AAACCTTCAAGTGCTATGATGAAACCCAGGGTCGCCACAGGAAAGAGAGCAGGAGAAAGACAGAGCAGGAGATGCCGCTCCTGCAGAGGATTAGATTATTAAAGTCACCAGGCTCAGAAATTGTCAATTAACTGTACCTCAGAATACAGCCCAAGTACATGCTTCAGTGACAGACATATCTCAACAGGAGCTGTTCATAGCAGACTGCGTAAATCAGGCCTTCATGGTAGGACTGTTGAAACTGTTGGGTCATGAAACACAGGGAGTGGACATGACACCAATGGAAATCTGTCCTTTGGTCTGATGAGTCCAAATCTGAGAAATCTGGTTCCAAATGTCATGTCTTGAGATGCGAAGCAGGTGAATGGATGAAGTCTGCACCAGGATTATTATCATTAACGAAAACTAAAACTACAAGAAAACATTTTCGTAAACCAAAATAAAATAAGATCGGGAAGTAAAATAACTAAATGAAAATTATAAATATTGTTTCTGATACTGAAATAAAATAAAAATGTAAAATATTTTCTTACCGTTTTTGCTCTTCAGCTACCTTCTTATTCGTATCTCACAATATCATTTGTAAATAACATTAATAACATTAATAATATGTAAAACATTTGCCCCAGCGTGCACTGTTTAAATGGAGGGTTCTCCAAAGATCACACACATTATACATTTCTAGAACTTTCTTTTCCCAGAAATAAAATTGCTAAAAAACTAAACAGAAATACAGTTCTGGAAAAAAAAATAAAATAAGAGAACACAGCAGCATTTGTAGTTTCACTCACTGCACAGTTCATGGGAAAATGCATGTGTAAAATATACATTTTTTTTACAACTTACAGCCTGCCTCTTCCCTTGTCATTGATGAAGGGCTTCTTCCTTGCTTTCTGGGTCTTTAAGGGCTTCTAGGAGTCCTAGCAGTGCACTTCACACCACTTAATGTTTCCCATTCTTAGTGAAGGTCATTTAATGTCATCCTCCGATTCACGAGGCACTGTTGGATAATTTAGCGCTCATCTCTGGCATTGGAAAGTCTCTTCCGCCCTCTACCTGGCTGAGTTCAGGTCGTTCCCAGTGTCACCTGTTTCACTTTGTACTTGCGTACTGCTGTCTTAGAAATTTCGGGCCTAGACGCAACCTGCCGCTCAGCCTTCTGCCAAAGAACCAGGATTAAACCAGGATTTAAAATTGCAGATTTTTTTAATATATATGAAATGATCTCTTAATTTTTTCCAGAGCTTTATGTCTTTAAAATAAAAACTAATAAATCAACACTTAAAACTAAACTGGATTTCAAATGAAAATTTCAAATGATACAAAAATATAAACTAAATAATATAGTTTAAAAGAACTATAATAACTCTTCTGCAGGTGTGGTTCCCACTGTGGAGCATGTGGGAGGAGCTGTGTTGGGATGCTTTGCTTGTCACACCGTTGGCAGTAGCTTTGATGACACACTGATCCAGCATAGCTACCAGCATAGCTACCTGTACCTACAGCATTCTGTAGCTGCACACTGTCCAATCTTGTTTGCCCTCAGTTGGGCCATCATTTGTATTTCAACGAGACAGTGAACCGAATCCCATCCCCAGGCTGCATTAGCGCTGTTTAGCAAAGGAGGGGCGTGATAGAGTGCCACAGCATGTGACCTGCCCCCCCCCCCACAGTTACCTTACTGAAAGCCAGGAGAGATTGCTGGGGATGAGCTGGACTGAAAAGGAGCCAGAAAGTGCTCAACATATGGGAACTCATTCAGGGAAACCATCCCAGGTGTCTCGTTCGCCTTAACCAAGAGAACAACCCAGGGACTTCAGACTAAAATTAGACTCTCTCTGGTATATGTGCAGTAACGTTACCAGTATGCATCGTCCCTGCCAAATGGAACAATGAACAAACGTGCTCGCGAAGCTGAGTGTGTGAGCCTGTCACCAAGAATCTGAAATGTGATGTTTGTGTTGTTTAAATTCTTTGTTTTTAAATATTTTATTTAAATGCTTTTATTGGATACTACATAATTTAACACATGCAATTTCATTGTTTTGATGTCTTCACTTCAAATGTACCAATATAAATAAAAGCCTTCTATGGGTGGGTGTTTCCAAACTTTTGATTGGTATGGCGTATGTGTGTGTGTATATGTGATATATATATATATATATATATATATATATAAGAAAATTATTTATATATATATATATATATAATATATATATACATTTCCTCATTTCTCCACCATGTGTAGAGCAGTTGTCTTCACGGCTGTCAGGAAGTGGCTTTAATCCATTCTCACACGCAATTACTGTCACAAACAGGCAGCCCATTAGCTGATGAGAGACTGAGAACCTTGTCCGGCATTTTGTTAAACAGACTAAAGTCTGTCAAAGAGAATCACATTAAGATGCAGTCTTCTCCTCGTATGACAGTATATTTTGTGTAGCCATAAAAATTTAGATTTTTAAATGCAGTGCTTTCACAGACAGGCTGTTCTGTGCAGTTTTACTGTCCTTTGTTTAATTATGTTGTCTTTGCTTAGCAGGCAGATTTATAAGTAACTTGCAGTATGCTGTAGGGTTACTTTGCTGCCGATTTTGCTACTGTGCGGCATTTGTGTTTAGCTACATTCTGAAGACAGGGCCAGTCATCCTGAGTGCACCTGACCAGTGAGACCACTTGAGAACTATTGGTGCTATTTTCTGTTATCGCTCATATGCTGGCTGGGGTCAGAGTGCCAGAGGGTCCCAAAAATGAGCACGGCTGCACATGTTGAAGTGATTTTGAAATTGGGATTGTTACGGCCACAGAATGTGGTATTCCCCAAAATGACTCTGAAGATGTGATGGAGTGTGGAGGTCAGACTCGTCATGAGCTGGACTGTAGCAAGAAGTTTCTGGGGGAAGGTGGGACGACAGCAGCCGACTGTTAACACAGCAACCATGTATCGCAGATGAGCGTGTTCTAGGTGCACGACGTGAGCTTAGGAAAATGGTATTGGAGGGCCTAGTCTGTCACCCCACCTCATGACCATCGGCGTGGGAGTGTCTAACGCATGAGGCCTGTGGTCACTGACTTCGGGCCTGACAGTAGGCAGCCACCCTCACCCTCGCTCTGCCGATCATCCTCCTCCTCTCAATTCTGTCCTCGGGTTTGTTTTTGTACAGTTGTGTGTGTGTGTCTGTCTGTCTGTGTCTGTCTGTCTGTCGGTCTGTCTTTTCCTTCCTGACATTGCTACGAACCTCAAAATTCTCACAGAAAATACATCTCAAATTTAGATTTTCATTTATTTAAAATGTATTATGTTATGGAAACAAATTCATATTAATTCAGACTGCCCCTATTGTTTTCTGTTTTGACGGTGGATGTCCTCAGGTTTACATGTTGGAAATCCTTAAACCCCAGGATTTTTTGGGTGGAGGGGGGTGCCTAATGCAGGGCAGTGAGGATTCTGTTTTGCATTTTCAAACCTGGCCTAAATTCCTTCCTCCACCTAAAAAAAATTGTGTGTGTGTGGATTAGGTTTATATTACATTGTGGGGACCAAATGTCCCCCACGATGTGTCAAAAATCTGTTTTTCCCATTGTGGGGACCATTTTTCAGGTCCCCACAAAGATCTGTGAATGCAATCAAAAAACTAAAAATGCCTCATGTCGTATTTTGTTTGGTTACTTATGGTGAAGGTTAAGGCTGGGTAGGGGTTAAGGTCGTCAAGTTGGGATTAGAGTTTCCCCCATAGAAATAGAGTCCCCACGAAGACATAATTACAAACCTGTGTGTATGTATATGTTACAAATATATGTGTGTGTGTGTGTGTGTGTGTGTGTGTGTGTGTGTGTGTGTGTGTGTGGACTGTATTTGGTAGCGACTTTGCGAAACATCCTTTTTTGTCATCAAGGCAGGCAACATTAAATGTTCTTCCGTACTGTTGTGTGATGCTTTATGGGTTGAAAGCATACAAGTAATTGGAATCTACATTCTCATTTTTGCTAAGCAGTAGACTGAGTAGACGAGCCTATTGAAGGCTTATCTCCTATAAGATTAGGGATGCTGATTCATACACTATTTTACTCTGCTGGACATTTATCACTAAGGGTATGCTCATGAACAACGTCAAAAATTGCATGTTTATTGTCAGATGTGTCACAAATTATCCAATTTTTAGAATTTAATTGAACAACACTTTTGACTTGAACTACACAGTAGCAGTTTAATGACTTTAATGACTGTGAGTTTAATGTCAGCTAACATGCAACTATGGGGCAGCAGTTAGGGTGATTAAGGATGTATCCTTGTAAGCCAGGGTCCCAGGACAGACTAAATAATTAACATCAACTGCTCTAGTAAATATCACAGCTGTTTAAATGCATAAAAAGTACAAAAAAGTTGACTTCAAAAAGAGCTGGACTGTAAAGAAACAGCAGCCTTTTTAATTACCTCAGACGTTTTCTTGCAGTTAATAGGATTGCATCACAATCCGTGTCGCCTGCCTTGCAATATATTTGCATAACCTTGGAAACTATTTGAATGTGTCATCATCATTGGTTAGCTGGTATCTGTCTTCTGCAATGCAGATTTTTTTTTCCTCGGAGTTGCTTATATGCGTTTGCAGGGCTCTGTTTACTAAGGTCCTTAGTGAGTGTAGTATAGCCTTAATATAGGTCTCTATGACGTAGATGGGGGTTCCATCATAATTAATTACTTAATTCCATATGTTGTGGGACATCATGGGCGGTTTCCAAAAAAGCCACTAAATGTCACAGAGGTATTTTGGCAGACGAATAACAAACGATTGGCAAAACTAACTTCTCCATCTCAGAGTGTAAATACTTTTCCCTTTAGCCCTTTCCCCACTGGTTTGGAGAGGGATTTTGTAAACAGCACTTTCTGAAAGATGCAGTTGTGGTGTTGCACTGCAGCCCAGGGTTTGGCATCTGCTGCTTGACGGTGTTCTGGGTGCTGCACGGGCTGACTGCTTCACCCAGGTCTCTTTTCCACACAGATGGCCGCCCTACAGAGCCCCTTCTACGGAGACAAGATGAACCTGTACTCCCTATGTCAGAAGATCGAGCAGTGCCAGTATCCTCCCCTGCCGCCGGATCACTACTCTGTAGAGGTACTTGCTTGCTCACGTGACACCTTGGCGGAAGCGAAGACTCCAGAAAGCTCAGCAAAATGTTTAAACGGCACCAGAGCTAATGGCCCATTCTCAGTTACAACTCTGTGCTCGTATGGTCAATCATTTTATAAAACCAGCTCACAATCTAGACCATAGTCTTGGTATGCACATTATAAATCGACTTTCATATTGTGAATTTGCTAATTAATTAGTAATTAAACATTTTTATTCTACACAAATCAATACAAATGCTTCTCACTTTATGATGATATTTTGACTTCAAGATGGTGCTATAGCGATGTGTATTGAGTAGTCAGCTATGAGTTTTGATGTGTTCCCCGGCTAGCGATGTGCCGTACGATACTTTCTCCTGATGCCAGGCGATGGCAGCATCCACCCGGCCAAGCTTCCAGTCTCTGTAGTGATCTCAACCATAAACATCTCATACAGTGTTCAACAACGCATCGTGCCATATCGTACCATGTTTTTTTCTGTTTAACCCTATAAATTAACTTTTAAGTTACTAGTATCTAGTTAGTTGCAGTAATAATTTATTTACTTGTCCAGTGACAATAGTTGTTTGTTTATGTATCATATTCGTATTCAACTTTTTCCACTTATGATGGATTCATTGGAACGTCACCCCATCCTAAGTCGAGAAAAACTTGTGTTATTTACTTTTACAAGATGCACACAATAGCAATTATGAATCTAATAATAAAAACTAGTTATAAATTTTATATCCAACCTGAGAATCAGTGTTGGATCTTAATGATGTTCTGTGTGAAGGCCTATCAGAGGTTGAATGTTACATTGATGGGAATTGGCTTTAGCTTTCCCTCTACAGTATCAAATATGTGTGGTCTGGCTCAAGCTGGTACCATTGCTGGTGGATGTTTCTAAAAAACAAAAAAATCCGTCCGTCTTCCAGCCACTTATCTAGTGGAGCATCTTGGGGAGGATTTGCTCAAACTACCTCAGTCAAGCATTTATAACATTTATTTTCTATTGAATACATGTTGTCCCTCTTACTTACACGATGAAGGTGTGTTAAACTATTACAATTCTAAAGAAAGGTTGCTTTGGAAAAATGAAAGGTGCCTTTTGGTCAGAATAAGACTTTTAATTTAAAAACAGCACCTATGTATACGTTAAAGGCCTGATTATCATCAATAACAATTAACCAGTGTAGAACGGCTAATTTTTCCCTTCCATTTTGTATTGGCTTTCTTCTTGCTCAGCCGTCCAGGGAGATCTCTACTGTCGGCTGCATTTGAGAAGCCTCCAAACTACAGTTTTGGTGTAAACAATGCCTCAGAAAGATGGCAAAAATGTCAGCTGCTGATCTTTGTTGTGTCATTTAATGTCTCCCTGGATTATCCCCTCCCATCCCCTCCCATTTAAACCCTGTCCGCCAAATGCATGAATATTTCACATTTCTGCATCTTCATTGCCTGTTCTCCTTGGCTAATTTTTCCAGACTGCCTGCATTTGCATTTCACATGCCGGGCTGATTAGGGGGTGCTGAGCGCAGCGTTGTGGCGGCGGGGGCTAGGCAGGTGGTTTCCATGGTGACCCCGTGCCGGATTTTTAATGATGATGCTGCTCGTAGCGGGTATAAATCGGTCTACTAGCAGTGTTGTCCCAGCCAGCCTCTCTCCCCCTTCTCTAAATGTGGATTTTTTAAGGGTTCCAGAGTCCGAAAAGCGTAGTGCAGAATATCCAGTCGACATGGAAATCATCCACCGATTACCCAGATTTATAAATTACAATTAAAACAGTGCAAAATGTAGGTCATAAAGAGGAACAGATAGAAATTCTTTAATCTGCATTTAAATTTTCATTACTTAATTGAGAAACTGTTTTTTTTTTTTTTTTTTTGCAAAATGCCTGAACTGACTAATCATCTTATCTTCTCCTCTAAATTCCATGTCAGCTAAGGAAGCTGGTGGACATGTGTATCAACCCAGACCCAGAGAAGAGGCCGGACATCACCTATGTGTACGACATTGCCAAGAGGATGCTGGACATGACGCTCACTACCTAGGACTCCAAAACAAGAAAAGGGTCGGGTCGGGGGGGGGGGGGGGGGGGGTTGACAGGGGGGGGGGGGGGGGATAGATCTAGAGGGTTTCTATAGCACAGTGTACGCAGTGTTTTTTGAATGTAACCAATGAACTTAAAGGAGCAAAAATTGCAACCAAAAAACTTTCCCACGAAAGTTTCACAGGGAGGAAAAAATATGACACATATATTGCAAGTTCTCATAATTTTTCCTTGTGAAAAGCAGAGATTATGCATTATATAAAATTAAGTCTAATAGCTGGATTATTGCTGTTCTCTCATGCAGAAGCACTGGCTGTTTTCAGGCATGTTCCCCATAGTCATAGTTTATAAGGTTTTGATAAGGCGTCAATGGTTCCTGATTTATTATTGTACTGTTTTAGACATATGCGTGAATGTATGTGTGCATCTGTCCCCGCAGACCATCCACGTTCTTGTTCTGTGAAGTGTTGCTTGCTCATTCTGCCGGATCTCACTCAGGAGACCGAACACTTTGAGGGCAGCGGAGGAAGGCTTGTTCTGCCTTTGTTATGCTCTCGGAGGCCACAAGCGAAGAATCCGCTTCTAAGACATTTTCATGCGCATTCACTCCCCCAGTACAGTTCATCAGCTCTTGGTCTATCTGGCCACAAGTATCTCCGGCTTTCAAGTGCGATTGGACCCGGAGACTCAGTTTAGGCTAGACCTGAAAGAACACCGGAGAAAACGACTGCAAGTTTAGATGAACCTGATGATGTCGACCATAATATGAGTTATTTTGTCTGTCAGTCTTGTTAACTTATACAAGTAACTTATAAGTAATATTGTTTTTAGATAATTTCACGTATATAATATACAAGCAAATGTATGTACCATAAACATTGGTAGAATAGGTCAAAATTAAGAGACTGTTCTGGACATGGCTGTTTTTCTGTCAGTGTCCTTTATAGCCAAAGGCTATACATATTTCATATGTTAGATAAAGCAAGACTCGTGGAGCAGTGACCCCCCCCCCCCC